TATAAGAGACAGCGGCGTGAGTCTGGGGAGCAGTACTGGGAGCGCCGGCGCGGCCGAGCCCTGCCCTGCCCTGCTCTCGGGGTAGTCGAACCGAGAATGCGTTGCTGGTGCACAGGTCATCCCTCGCAGTGATCTGCAAGTAGGTCGCTTTGCCCTGACAGCAAGCTAAGATGTGTGAAGTGGTTATGTATCTTATGGTGTTGCTTAGCAGGCTTCTGGGAAAAGATAGCACTTAGATAAACAGACTTTTTATGCCTTTTTTTCTTTTGGTAGTACAGTCGGTTTTTATTTGAAAGTGGCTGGCCCTGAGGAAAACCTCCAGTGTGGCTCATGTGCTGTCCCTGGGCCTAAGGAAGAGTGTTTCAGCTGTCTTGGTCTTGCCTTGGCACACAGTCTAAATTTCCAGAAAAATAAAACTTCTCTGTACCTCCTGCCCCCTCCCTCAGTCCTCCAGTCTGTACGTGTTTGGTGCAGCCTCCACTATTACTTGAGGTGCAAACCTTCCCACACATGATCCATATCAGCCTCAAGCTTATACAGACTTTCTTTTTGCTACATTTCTGTCACATACCCCTGTCTTTTCCACCTCTTTTTCTCCTATTTCCAGGGCTCCTGCCACTTGTGCTTCTACTGCTGCAAGACAGAGCTGGCTTCTTACTGCTGATGTCCACAGGCAGCCTCCCCTTTGCTCCCACTCTGTGAATTTTTTCTGTCTACCTGGGGGCTGTGGCAAAGCCGTCTTGCTTTTTATCACTTTGCTCTTGTTCAAAAGGGAGAAGAGGTAGAGAAGCACAGTAGTCTACTTATGTGCAGAGAGAGGTACTGACTGAACTGATGCCACCCACACATTGCAGAGTTTGCTGATCAGATTTTAGGATTTTTCCCTGAGCTTCCGGCTCCACGCTGCCTCTGGCATTTGTACAGTTTATTTTGTGCCCTCCTTGCAGTTCAGCACGCCACTCCTGCTGTTTGGGGCTCGGCTGCTTTCTTGTCACATTGCCAAAGCTCTGGGAAAGGACCCAGCTAAAGAGGAGGAGGAAGAGGCTGGTACAGAGCTTGTTGCCTGTGAGCTTTACTTAAGCATTTGTGCCAGCATATGCCGATGTACCTGTTATAGCAGCAAGCAGAAACCCCAACCAGTTGGGAAGAGTCATAGAAGAAAAGGAGCTTTTTAATTCTTTCTTCCACCTGTTAATCCATTTGAGAGATGAGAGCTGGTGTCTGTGCTAAGACCAGTTGCCAGCCCAGGAAGGTGAGGTAGGAAGGTGTACATAGCATGGGGAGCCATGTGCCCACATTCCCCCTGCAGAAGTATTCAGCTGACTGCACCGGAGATAACTTTCAGATCTAAGCACAGACCAGTGTAGGTAATGGCAGCCTGTCTTTGTCTGGCTCCTGCAGTTTCCCTTCTCTCCCTATGGATGCATGAAAGCACAGGAACAGCAGCATGCCTGGTTGAAGTGGATAAAGCAATTCTTGCTCCTGCAGCTTTTGTTGTGCTTATTCATAATTTATGTGTTGGAGCTGCCGGGAGGCTTTCAGAGGCTTCATGATGTTGCAGTGGGGACAGCCCTATCCTCTTGGTCTCCTGCTTCCCATTTTGTGGGTACTTTCTTTTGATTTGGTGTAATGATTTAAGTGTGATTAGCTTGCGATTATGCTCTCAGCATGCAGAGCAGAAGCTTTTTCCAGATTGCCAGCCAAACAAATGTGTGGACTGGATGTGCACATTCCCTTTCTTTAAAGGTTAAGTTTAACCTAAGAAGGGCACATACCAATTGCTGCAGGAGATTAAATCTTGGTTCAAGACTGCGGACTTGCTTGTGGCCATGACTGGAAGAGACCAGACTTCTGTCAGGAACAATTACTGATTTTATATTCATAGTCTTTTGGTGTAATTACTTGTTCTCTGTTTTGGGGAAGTCAGTAGGACTATTTTCTTGGCTGTTTCTGTTATTTGTTTATACTTTTTAGTAGCTTTTCCTGTCTCTCACCCTTCAGTCAGTGTACATTTAGGAGCACTGTGTCTGTTTAGTCTCTTTGTGCCTCTCATTCTAAAATGATGAAAGGTAAATTCCTACCTTTTTTTTCCTGAAAGTGAGGAGAGAAAACAGGAAGCATTCTGCGTCTGAATGTGATTCTAATGAAACATTAGTTTAATTAAGACATGGGCAAGTTAGTAATACAAATCAAACATGTGCTCAAGGATCTGATGTCTGTCTTTAAAGTATGCACTCAAGGCCAACCTTCTGGCTATCCCTGTTTTATTTTTGCTTTAAACAATGTGGGGGGAGGAGTACCACAGGCTGGTATGAGGATCATATGGCCCTGATGGAGAGTCAGCATTGTAAGTGACCTTGCCTGACATCTTTTCTTTCTCCTTTCTTCTTCCCTCACTGTTTTGTCTTGCTGTGTTACCAGGCATTCCTTCTGTCTCTGTTCATACAGAGAGTGCAGTTGTTTCAGTAGGGGTCACTAGCCACTTCTAGATCACAAGTGAGAACAACATGTGTTTTGAGCCGGTAGGCTTTTTTCTCTGTGTGAAGCAATGTTTTCGTGTTCTGTTCGCTGTGTTCATTGCTGGAATCAGCATTAGTACATACTGCTTATGGGCTTTCTGTTTTGTTTCTTAAACTCTGTTGTTTTCTCTCCCTCAGAATTGAGTTTCTGCGGCACCTGAGAAGCTTCTTCCAGATCATGTTTAAAATTGAAACAAAGACCCCTGAGGAAGAGCACATGGGCGGGGAGAAAGTCTTAATGACGTGTGTTGGCACTGGATTTTCCAACCTTAGCAAAACTATAAGATAAGAAACATCTACACACTTCATGAAATGGGGTGAGAGAAAACGTTGCAAAGATCTTGATAAAACCTGCCTTTCCCTGTGCTTATTATAGCACAGGGAAACCAGTGATGATTCCAGTGCAGAAGTACCCAAGCTTGCTGCATATAAACAGTAATGCTGACTTCAGGCTATTTAAACCTGTGCTGTTTATAAATGCAATGCCAGTATTCTGTGCTGCATGGAATGGCTGGCTGGAGTCTCAGCTGGCTTGGGACTCTTTGCACTGTATTCCACTGCATGGGACACAGGTGCCTCTTATGTCCCTGTGCCCTCAAGCCTTAATGCAGTGGGTGCTCTAGCTTTGTGTATCTACAGACTTCACTCTTGGCTTTTTCTGAAAGGTTTAGATAGAGAAGGAAAACAAGATTGACCAAAATGAGCTTTGCAGTGCAAAACAGATGATTACAACAGAAATAGTAGATTCTTGAGGTAATTGCAGAGACAATATTGGCATGGAAATAAAACTAAAAGTGTTACAATTTTTTGTTATACATTGCATGTGTCAAATGCTTCACTCCTGCTTATGTTGACTAAATTACAGTTTCACAGGAAGAAAAAATATATCTCTTTTAATTTTCTTTAATGTTAAAATACTGTGGAAGAGATCACAGCCTATACGGACTTGTTTTAACCTCCTCTGCAAAGATGGCCATGGGAGGAGAAACCTTGACAGTTTTTGACTTATCGCATATATTCGGTTTAGGTTTGTTTAGCGTGCCACACACAGCTGCTCACAATTAGTTGTGAAAGGCAACAAAAAAAACGTGTAAGCTTTGACGTGGAAAAATATTTTCAGTTATGCCCTCACATTTTGTGCACCTGCTCCCTTTTTAAAGAGGGGATAACGGTGTATAGGCAGTGCTTGGATTGACAGGTGCAAAAAATCTCTACTGGGATTTAAATATTTGCCCTAGAAAGGCTTTTGGTAGATTCCAGACAAACATGCTGAAGTTAGTGCAGAACTTCTGACACAAGGAAAGAAACTTATACTTGGCTTCAGACTACACTCAGTGTGTCTGAAGTAAAATAAAACTGTGTCAAAAGCTGGTATATATATGGAGCAAATACTCGTGACTGTGTTATAATGGTCTTACAAACTTTATCTGATGCCCCTGTTAAGTGGGCATTACCTCTGTAATATGAAAAATGTATATTGGACCCAAAAGGACTTTGACAAAAGTTAGGTCTGTGGTTAGTGTTTTATTAACTATTGCAGGATGTGTGAGTCATTTTTGTACTGTACTTGTTGCAATCTGTCTAAACATGTTTTGGAAAAATAAAGTATTTTTTCCTAAATAAGGTTTAATTTCCCTTTAAAACAAAACAAAACAAAACAAAAAAACAACAAACCTTTTCCCCAGCCCTGTAACATGGCATTTCAAAAGATAAATGGCTATTTTGAATGGATACATCAAAAGAACAGCTTTGGGAGTTGCCAGGGTGGGAGGGAAAGGGCAAGCCCCTTCTTACAACTTATTAGCTTTCCAAAATGTGATTTGTGACTAAAGAAATTGAATACTATATTTTTTTATATTTCAAGCTACATTAGAGAAAAATATGTGGGCAAGGAAGAATTTATGTTGTTCCCCTCTGTCACCTATGAAATGAAAAACCCAGAAACTCCACAAATTAAAATTATCCAAAATACAGGGAGCCGCTGATCCAAAAGGTGAAATGTACAAGCTGAGATTAATAGCCATTAGAATAAAAATACAGATCTTACACTAATTAAAGATACAAGTTTGCAGCATAGCTCAGATTTCTAAAATTGACCTAAGTAAAAATTTGGAAGTATTATAAGAACTTCAAAAATCAAAAGCTTTATTATCTTTAAAGTTTTAAAGCTCTTTCAAGTTGTGACAGCTTTTCCAAATGTTCCAGTCACACCAAACATAGGACAATGTGTTGCCCAGGTAGCAGATTTTTTAGCAATGGAGTAATTATGTCATAAAATTACCTGTGTTTAACTAAACCTCATTGTTAAAGTTAGACTGCTAACCCTTAGCCCTGCTGCAAATTGCATAGCTCTACAGCACAGTGCTTGCTATAACTCAGAATTGCTTGTTGCTTTACAGAGAAAAAGATAGGTATGTGAAAGGAATATGTTTTTCCAGAACAGCCAGTCTCTGGAGAAGCAGGAACAATTCCAGATGAGGTTTTAGGTGTTTTCTTAAAATTGTTTGATCTTTGCATTCTGTGAAAAGTACTTATTAGAAAGAAATCCTGCCAATAAAAGCTGTTTGTTTATTAGCAGAACAGTTTAACAATTAACACCTGTTCTGGTAGTCTGATCCCACAGTCAGTAAAATTGTTCTGTTTTAGAGCTGGACAGAGAAAATTAATGTTTGAAGACAATGCCTAATCTTTGTAGCCACAGGCTTTATGGTAAAGATGGTAGTTACTAGGAGATGCATCTTTCATCTGAATCCGTCATGGCAGATTTAATACTGAGATGACTTGAATTTGAACTGATTAGCTCTGCGTGAATAATCCTGTACTCTTTCAGCTATCCCTCATCAATTTAGGTAATCCCTTTGGGTGAACAACTCTAATAATACCCTTCTGCTGTGATTGGAAACTTTTGCTTACAGAAGGCTTTAAGGATGGACCATAAGGGGGTACAGGTATGAAAGGGAACTAATTAACAGAAGTATTTTGTAATGTGCATTTTAATTGAAATAATTTTAATGTCAGGAGAGGGTGACCCATGTACAGAAAAATGGTTAGGGGGAGAACTAATCAGAATACCTCAATAAATGGAGAATCCCTTTAAATTTGCGTAACAAGAAAGGCTGCTACAGTGGTGATGTGAAGAGTATTTGTAAAACGTGCCTTTATGGAGCACCCGCTTCAACTTTTGTAGTATCTATTGTCAAACTCTCATCCATTTCTAAGCTGTGATGGTAACTTGACTACACCTTCTGTGGTTACATCAGAAAATTAATGTTAACTTGCTGTAGGACAGGTCTGAAGTAGTAGAGGTTATGCTGAAGGTGAAATTGCTTCAGTCCAAGCCATTGCACTTTACTGAAGGTGTATGACGAGAAGCACGTGCAGTATCTGTCTGGGGAAGCACACGTAGGTACGTTAGCTAGACCAAAACAGTAAGTACATGGCTGTCTTGGGTAATGTTTTCAAAATGGTGATTATGCTACTGCCAGAGCATAGATACTCTCTCCTCCTTCCCACAGGTAATATTATGAGTCAAATGGATTTTGTTTCAAGCCACGGAGGCATAATTCTGCTGCTTGCAAGCTCTTACATTCACTCCCCCATTTTTCAATCATGCTCTTAAGACAGCAACAGGAGTAAAAAAGATGAAAAGTACCAGCCTTCAGGAGGCATAATTTTGCCTATGGGTTTCTTTCTCATTTATTGATAGTGTATGGCCATCTCTACACTTTTATTTTGTATGCATGATAAAAGCATTTCTATTTAGTCTGGATCCTAGGGGATACCAAGTACGACACGCAACTGTGTCAGGACAGCTCTAAATAAAAGAAGAAAGTGGAAGGGGCATCTTTTACAGTTACTGCTTAGGTCTTGGTAAGCTCTATCTTAAGATCATTCTTGCTGGCATATGTACAGTTCTCCTTGTGTCTGATCTAGGAGCAGAATTAACAAGCTCTGAAAAACACCTATTACCTGTTATCAATGGGAGGTGTAAAAAGACAGAACATCCTCAAGGGAAGAGTGTGTGGGTTGAACTCTGCAGTGACAGCATTGTATGTGTAATCCCAGTAAGTCATGCACTGCGTCAGAGCACCACAATGTCCAAATAGCACTTCTGCTAAATAAAGTTGTGACATTGATATAAGACAGGTTTGTTGGGATGATTTGTGGTAGTTCTATAGCAGTAGATATTAAGTATGAGTGCTAATCTCTCTCCTGGAACAATAAGATTATTATATATACACACCATTATTATATATGTACAAGCGCTCAGAACTATATTGCCTGTGTACTACAGAGTGTAGAAACAACTGTGTTTGTGGAAGCAGCAATAAGGAGACCCACAGAGAAAATGTTTTATTGTAAACTGATACTGATGAAGGATATAACCACAATGGCCAAAAGCAACTCTACATCAGGGTGAACGGTGGTTGGGAGCTACAGAAGTGGCCAGTTCCCTGCTACTGGTGGCAGCCCCTCTCTGCACAGCTGTGCATCTGTTCTGGGGGGGCCCTTTGGGCACACCAAGGGTAGAGTAGTGTCTTTATACATTTGCCCTCATGCTGTATGTCTGCCTGATTGTCCACACTCACCCTGCTATTCCCTGTATTGGTTTGGCTGCACTTCCCTGGCAGCCTCCGCTATGCTGTTCACACAACAAACATCAATACTTCTTTAACAGTGAACTCCCATGGTGAAAATCTGTACAGTCCATGCAGAGACTGATACACATGAGGTACCCAGTGCTTAACTGGATGAGCTAGTAGGATTAAGGGCTTGATTTCAGTGATCATAACTGCGTGTCAGTGACACATTCCCTTATACAAGATGTGACAGGCTCAGTAAGGCACCCATTTGCAGGCTGCATCACAGGCACACCATTTGAGAACAAATGTCTTTCTTCTTACCTTACTTCTAACCTGCAACCACCCTGCTCCTTGAAAGTTACTTAAACCTTTTCCAATCCTAACCTGTCTCCATGGATAAGAAGAAAAGTTGCTTTTGTCAGTGATTAATGTAGATATATTCTGTGAGGTAAGACTGGAATGGTCATCCCTCAGCATCATCAGGTCGGACAATTCCATGTGTCTGGAAATGTACTTTTGATGAGGTATGAAATACTATGCATCTTCAAGCTGGTTCTAGATCAAAATATTCATGAGGTTTGATTGTTCCTTTTTTTTTTTTTTTAACTTCACCAAAATGAAAAAAAAAGGAAGAAAACCCAAAACATGATGGCTTGTTAGTGTGTCAGAATTCAGAAAGTGCCTGATTCAGTTAGGCTTCCTGAAAGATTTAAGTGTGTATTCAGAAACATATCTACAGATTCAGTATGTATCTGTGGGAAAGGGTTTTTACTGCAGAATGTTTCTGAGCACTGAATTTAAAAATCTACTTTATCATTCATGCTACAAGTGTATTATCCACTATTTTCACCTTGTTCTTTGTGACTTAAATAATGTATATAATGTGCTTTCCAAGTAACTATCCACAATAAATCAGGGCTAAATAAAACAGCCTAGAAAATGTTATTCCCATTTATTTTGCAAAGGTGTTTGTCAGGATGTTGATAAAAATACTGTTTCCTCATCCTTCACTACATGTCAGTAGTGAGTTTTCCCTTGAAACAGTGTCAAGATCTTGTTCCAGTCTTGTCTAAGTAAAGATGTATGGGTTCAAAGTGAAGAAGAGCTGATGTGAAAAGATCTGGTTCTTTCGATGGTATGTAAAGCATCTTAGAACAGGCTATTACAAAAAGCACAGGGCGCTTTAACAGCTTTTTACTCAAGAGAGTGATAGGAGGTGGGGAGGGCTAATCTAAAGCTACACCATCTGGGGCTGGCCTTGTCACAGGAAGAATGTGGCAGCTGTCTAAGTAGTTTTTCTTGTTTTCAGTTTCGAAGTACAAACTAAGAATGAACATCTGTTTCAGCTTGCAGAGTTAAATAAATAAGCATTGTAAGCAGATGGTTTTTAACACTTGAAATTTATGGTAAGAAGTGTTCATGAAAAGAGAGTGAACTAATAGCCAAGGAGATGGATATTACAGAATCCTATTACCCTTCTTTTCCCTCCCCAGCCTCACAGATTTACACAGAAAAGAGCAATTCAGAAATTGCTGAATAGCTGTTTAGATACTGTAAAGAAAATACAGGAGATTGTCAAAATCTTCACTTGCCTGACTGAATCACAGAGTAAAACTTAACCATGCTCATATTCATGGCATTTTCTTCACTGACCCTGCTTTCGAAGAAAGAGTTATGAGATAACTTGACTGAAACTTGCATTTTCACACCTTTTCAGTTTTAAGTAAAATCTCTCATTGATTTCCTCTGCCTTAATGTCTTCCTCATGCAAGAACAATGCTATTAATTAATAAACTATTTGAATTGGCTTTGGCGAGTCATAGTCATATAAATATAAAAAGGTGCATTGTTCGCATTCATGTAATGAGATTCTTGGCTTTATGGATTTTTAGCCTCTGTTCCAAAGTGTTTTGGAGAAGTGCCTTTGTGCCTGTGGTACAGAAGAATGAAATGACTCATTTGTATCCCACAGGGAGCTGGAGTAGAAAATACCAAGATACACAGGTTCACAGGTCTGGGCAAACATTTCCCTCACCTTATGAGGGCTATAAGCATGTTGTGACTCTACAGGCCCAAGTCTCCATAGCTCCTTTCTGCTCTATGTTCTGGTTTTTTTGTTTGTTCATAGGATTTGTTTGGGTTATTCTGTCTACATTGGATTCTTGTAAAGACTAAACCGTTCCATTTTTACTTGAGAAAGATATCCTTTGTGGTACATCTCCTCTGCTGATCTGTTCTGCCTCCTGTTAACTCCATCATTGGATGGAAGAACAGCCCCCACCATGATGCTGTGGTGTTCTGAGTTGCTGCATTATTTCCCTTCTCTGTTCCCTGGCACATACACTGATTCATCTGCAAGCTGTCTCCCTGGCCACTCACAGGGACAACTTCCCTCTCCTTTGTCCAGATGCCACTGATCTGCCTCACTGCAAAGACTTTCATCCAGGATTTATAGAAAGGAAAAGTGTATAGATACATTGGAGTTCTAACTAAATGTGCCCTGGTAGTCCCTGCTGTGGAAACAAGCATTTATCCTCATCTCTTCCATCTCAGAGGTATTCTTGAAGGCTTGCCATCTTGAAGTCAGAGAGTTTAGGACCAAGATGTGTTGCTTAATTACAGTCTGACCTCCTGTCCTCCTTCAAGAGAAATTAAAATTTTCAGAAGGGCCTCCAGTCTTTACTGGGAAAACTGAGACACTATATTTCCATTACAGTTTTGTGATTTTGTTCTAGCATTTATTCACTTGCTGTTTATAATACTTAACTTACTTGGCCAGCCTGCCGCTCCTGGTTCTTACAGTAGTAGAGAGCCCTGTGGGATCCAATATGTTTCTACCCCATGAGTAATACAAGAAAGATACCAAAGGAAAAAGATTCCTGCTTTGGGATCAGAAAGCCTTATCTGACACACAGACAAATAGTAATGGTCTTCTAGCTGAATCTTCTCTGAGTTTTAAAGTGGAGCTAGAAAGCAAACTTAACTTACACTCAAAACCAGTTTCTTGCTGATTGGCATTAAAATGTATGGACTGTTTTAAAATGGTGGCACATCATGCTACTAAATGGACAATGGACACGTTATTTTAAAGTCCTGGGGCGGTGGGTTGCACAGGAGAAAATCTTGACATATAGCTCCACTCTTACGGAGCTGAAAGACTGTATTATTTTAAGACTGTCTCTTAAGGAAGCAGACTTAGTGTTGTGTTTACATAGCAATAGTGTGAGTTTTTCTTTCATTAACCTTCCACTGGTGAAAGTCTTGACTGTTTCATTATATAAGGTATCTACCACTGCTACTACAAAGACTATTATTTGCAACAAAAAGACAGCGTTGGTTTAAGAGTAGGTGTTCTATGGACAAGATACTACTTTTTAGCTCCTTGCTTTTTGTTGTGCTTTAACCCCAGCCAGCAGCTAATCACCATACAGCTGCTTGCTCTCTCCACTTCCCTCTCAGTGGAATGGGGAGGAGAATTGGAAAAAAAAAGTAAAACTCATGGGTTGAGATAAGAATGGTTTAATAAATAAAATAAAACATAATCATATCAATAATATAATAATAAGAATAGTTATAATTTAAATTAATATAATAAAAATTAGAAATAAAACCCAAGAAAAGACAAGTGATGCACAATACAATTGCACACTATCTGCTGACTGATGCCCCAGCCAGCTCATATACTAAGCATGATGTTCTATGGTTTGGAATATCTCTTGTGCTAGTTTCGGTCAGCTGTCCTGGCCATGCTCCCACCCACCTTCTCTTGCATCTACAGCCTACTCGCTGGTGGGGCGATGTGAGGAGCAGAAAAGGCCTTGACTCTGTGTAAATACTGCTCAGCAAGAAGGAAAACATCCCTGTGTTATCAACACTGACCTCACGCAGAATCCAAAACATAGCACTATACCAGCTACTAGGAAGAATATCAACTCTTTCCCAACTGAAACTAGGACACTTTTCAAAGAAGCAGAGTGAGGAATGCAATTTAGAAAAAAGTGGGAAAAAAGTCATAGAGATACAAAAGCACACAATGGAAAAAAATAAATGTAATTGTGCTGGTGTTTCAATTATCTCCTTATAGTTAAAATATTTAAATCTACTTTAAAACATTGCTCTTTATACCACTAACATTTCATTGGCAATAAAAAAAAATTCACAACCCTTCCCAGAATTTTTTTACAGCACTAGCTCATATAACTAACCAAGAAATGCAGATGCTAAGGATTTCAGTAGCTGTATCTCACCCACCATTCTCATGACAACCCACTCCTGGTATTGCAGCTGCTAGCCAAATACGAAACTTGGCAAACTCTGTGTGTGGCATAATACGTTAGTTTCACTTTTGAGGGGAAGCAGAAAAGCAGTAGTTCCAAGTAAAAGCAGCCGCCTTTGGAATCTTCTCAGCTTGTTTCCTCTGACATTTACTGAACTGTAGCCCATCTGTAGATTCATAGAATGTTTATTTATTTCTGTTGCTTGCTGCAGCATCTCTTCTATACAAACTGGGTCCTATTTTCACAATTTCTGCTGACCAAAAATACCTTCAGCTGGGTTTGCTGGTAGCTCTAGGATCTCCACCTGGAGCTGACTCGGTTGTGTAGTGACAGAGGAGGCAGAAGAGAAGACATTTGCAACTGGGAGGGATGGACTCACACAGCTCATCTCAGAGGACCATCTTTGCGCCCCAGGTCTAGCTGTGTCAAAGGGCTGGAGGGCATTCTTGTGGGTTCTCTGGCCCCGGGAATGACAGATTCAACAGAGCTTGGCACTGGATAGGGCATTTAACAGAAACTATGAAAAATAGCTTTCTTTCATTTCTGTAGGTGAAAACTAGTTGTACTTTTCCAAGCATTTAGGTAAACACTTCTAACTGGTCTGGTCCTTCACATGAAATGTACCTTGGGAATGATGTATTTTGAAGCTACTCACTGCATGGACCAAACTGAGTTAACTGATGTTTCTGCCTCACATAGCACTACCTCAGCAATATCTTTTATAATCCCACAGAAGGCAGGTTAGGAAGCTTGATAGCTAGTAGATAACCTAAGGGAGAACTTTCATGCTTTATTTGGCATGTTTGACTCACTGTGAGCAAACACTTGCTGGAACTGCTTATCTAAAAATCTTCCTCCTCCAAGAAGAGCAGTTTGTGGAAGCTATTTCTAGATCCTGAAATGCTCTCCCTGAGAACTCCAATATTTGGTTTATTTCCATTACACTACAGAAAGTGGAATGAGGAATCAATGTTTTTAAACGTAATAGTTGCTGGGTGCCATTTTTTTTTAAATAGGAAATGAAAACAGCTGAATTTGATTTATTTTAATTACAAAGAAAAGACATAACCGATGTGACTGGAGTTCAAAAACAAAAGAGGAGAAAAAGAAGAGCAACTGACACAGGTTTGCTGTTCTTTGTACTGATGTAATTCCAGAATAACAGTGAAAGTTACTCGTTAATTAAATTATGAAGAGTCTGACCCTCAATTAATTAATTAAAGCAATGTTACCTAAGTGGTGGCCTGCGGGACAGACATCTCTATAAGAAGTGCTTCTTAGATAGTTTGCATGAGTACCTGGCAGGGTACCTTTCTGAATTCAAACAGGGAAATTTACTTCTTTGTGAAACCCCTGTGCTTCTTCTAATTTTAACTGAAAT